TTGTGGGTTCTATGAAATATATGGTTAAAAATAATTGATGACTTTGACTTTGATAAAAATTTAGATTATAATTTGTATCAAATGGGGGCATAATAAAGGACTGTCTGAGGAGTTAGAATACTATCACTTAGTATTTGCATGTTGCTTAGCAATTCTTCATCTTAATAAATTCAATGGAGGATAATAATGTCTTTCTCATCAGGCACATTCAGTTTTTGGTGAAACAACTTTGACCTATCAATTTTCTTTAATTGACGCAGTTTTGGTTTATCTTTAGTTATACAATGTATCCGTAAGTGGTTTATTCTTTGGCATTAGCACATACCAATGCATCTTTGTTGCTTGCTCAAACAGCTTATAGCTGAAGCCTGGGATTGTGGAGGCCTCTATCAAGTCGGCATGTTTCCCCATTGGGGTGTATGGTCTGAATGGAATGGGAAGGTAGGTCTGAATGCTAATCTTGGTCTCTGATCATCATCTCAAGTATTTAAATGACTGGAAGATATGGGAAGTGGTTTATAAAAAGGTATGGCTGTAAAATATGAGCATCCTGGTTATCTGCTTTCATTTCTTTTTTAAGGAACTTTATTACATCATCGTGATTAATCCTGAGAATTGATGTTGAGAGTACTGCATTGTTCCAACTTCAAACAATGTGGTTGAGCTTATATAGTTTTTTCTTTTATATGCCAGTCCCAAAACATTTTGCTGGGGTTCTAGAAAACTTTTAATTCTAAAAAAATAATGGTTCATTATGTCTATAACCACAGACAGAATGCATGTATTTCTGCTTGAGGTTTCTTCAATACCAAATAATTTAGTTTCTGTTGGATTCTGTAAAGAGAAAGATTTTAATCAATAAATAACAAAGCTTTTCATCGTTTATTCTGTACTGGCACATTGTTATTTTTGAATTTTGATAGTAAGATGAGACTTCCTGAAAAGTCCCATATTATTAAACTTTCGATGAAGAAATATTTGCATTTCATTAATTTGCTGATGATCTATGGTTCCCATGCTTCTATGCATCATTTTAACAAAATCTTTTAGCGTCTAATTTAGATTGAGAAACAGAATGATAAGGTAGTTCCTTCAACCAACTTATCGCATTATCTTTTAGTTTGCATCCACTCTCTCTCTCTCTTTGTATATTTTCTTTTGTGCCTATCTACCTGGATAAGTTTCAAAACCTCAATTGAACCATGCATTTTAATCGTTTTGCAGTATCGTGACATTGTACGACAGTTCATCAAAGGTACTGATGGGTTTTCCGGGGCTTTTGCTGAATGTCTTTGTGGAAGCCCTAATTTATATCAGGTACTTTGACCATATTAGTTACTTAGTAGTTGAATGTGATCCATCATTCTGTTATGCAACTCATTTCTCGTTACCATTAGGAGTGTCAAAATGTGATGTGTCTCTTATATATTCAAATGTTAGAGTAGGCATACTCTGTGTCTATTTCTTGTTTGAAATCACTAACTATTGATTTTAAATCAGGAAGGTGGAAGGAAACCTTGGAACAGTATCAATTTTGTGTGCGCTCATGATGGTTTTACTTTGGCTGATTTGGTGACGTATAATACCAAGCACAATTTGGCAAATGGTGAAGAAAACAGAGATGGGGAGAATCACAATAATAGTTGGAATTGTGGCCAGGTAAGACTGAGCCTTGACAATATGTTGGAGCAAACTTCTGCAGTATTTTTGTTTCTTTATACGAGTTAGAAATACTTTCAGCTAAATAACCAAATCAAAGTTGTACATTTAAATATTCTTTTGCATAGTTTTTGAATTCTTTAAATACCTTGCACGAGTTCTGTGACTCTAGAGCATAGTCTGGAGTGAACGCTTGTTTGCATGCAAAATATTTTGATGTACCTTAAAGATTATGCTTTAGAGCAATAACAATTACACTCTGAATTTGTGAGAGAACTTTTTAAATTTGACTAGCTTTGATAGTTCAATTTTGATCCTCAGCTCATTTTCTTTGATAACCCATGGACAAAGATATCTCATTTTTATACTTATATGAGTTGCACAGGAGGGAGAATTTGTGAGTACTTCTGTGAAGAAATTGAGGAGACGGCAAATGAGAAATTTTTTCCTCTGTCTCATGGTTTCCCAAGTAAGAATCAACTTTAAACTCTCACTAGTGTTTTGCAACTGCTTCTTCTATAATGTGTTGAAATCGTTTAATTTGTCTTCTGTCCCCAATCTGACATAAAAATCTTAGGCTTAGACTATGATGTTACCCTACTGTTTGCCAACGCACATGAGTTTGTTTAGCCTGTAGAACAATATATGCTCTCCAGGATAGGACTCTGTCTCCTCCCTTTCCTTAATTTTTTCACTTGCTTTGTTAGTAAATAAGAGGAAACTACATTTTTATCAGGTCTTTTCCTAAATGTGCGTGCACCAGAAAGAGGTTTGCTAGAAGATCATCAAAAGCTTATAAAAATAAAAATAATGGGCATACATATATGTGGACGTTTTAATCATGACAGCTACAAGAAGAGAGAGATAGATGTGAATTTTTTTTCCTCTTTATTTTAATAAAACATGTTTACATATCATGCCTGCATTTTTGTTGTTTAATCCTTTGTTGTATGACCAGGGTGTTCCAATGATCTACATGGGTGATGAATATGGTCATACGAAAGGGGGTAACAACAATACCTATTGCCACGATAACTTTGTAATACTCTCTGTCCCTGACACCATTAAATATCATGATTACTCCTCTCCCTATCTCCACACTGCACATGGTTTCATTCCCTTTTTTGAGGGGTGTAACTGAAGCATTGGATGCAGATTAACTACTTCAGGTGGGATAAGATGCAGGAGTCTTCATCAGATTTCTTCAGATTTTGCTGTCACATGGCCAATTTCCGCCAGTAAGCTTTTACCATCCTATTTAGGTAACTTTTTGGGCATTTAGCCTCAAAGAATTTTATCTCACGATCTTTACTTTTCCAGCGAATGCGAATCACTTGGTTTAAACGACTTCCCGACAGCAGAGCGACTGCAATGGCATGGTCATACTCCAGGGTTGCCAGATTGGTCTGAGAAAAACCGATTTGTTGCGTTTACTTTGGTATTTTTCTCATTAGTATTTATCTAGAATATTATTCAAGAATTCACTAATGTTATTATTGCTGACTTAGATACTTGATAGTTCAAATAAACTAAACTGATTGCCAGATATATTACTGAAATTATTGTTAAATTCAGCAGCATGGTGATCTTCTGCATTAGCTAATTTGAGTTTAATTCTTTTCTCCTCCGTTATACAAGGATAGACTTCTTACGAAATTATCCGGTTTGATTTGTTCCCACATACCTAAATCCTGATCATGTTTCCCTCTGCTTATCATTTTATTAATTGATTTTTTTTAATTTTTGTGACATTGACCTTGCCAGATCGACTCTTCGAAAGGAGAATTATACGTCGCCTTTAATGCTAGCCATGTCCCTGTCATCATTTCTTTACCGGAACACCCAGGTTACAAGTGGGAGCCCTTGGTGGACACCGGCAAGCCAGCACCATTTGACTTCCTCTCAGATGATCTTCCGGAGAAAGATCTGGCTATCAGGCAATATGCTCATTTTCTTGATAGCAACCTTTATCCCATGCTTAGTTATTCCTCAATTATTCTTTTACTTTCTCCCGATAGTAATCTTTAACTGAACTCCCTCAAGCATTAATGTCTTAGTATCTCTTATTATGGTATGAAAATCCTTTTGACTTGTACAGATTATTGTGACTACAACACAACTTCTATATGTATCAATTGCCAAAAATAATATTGATCTCTGAATTAAGCCCTTGTTTGAGCTGCATTATTTTCCTTAGAATGAATTTTTGAATCATATATTGATGGAAAACATGTGGTAAAAAAATAAAGAAAAGTTTAGGATTTGCGTGTAATATTATTTTATTGAAGAATGTGGTTGAAATGATATTAAATCACTGTTTAAGAATATATATATATATATATATGTTCTAAATTAAAAGAAACATTTTTTCTCCTTTTCTTTTCTTACTTACCTTTTGTGTTTATTTTTAATAAAATTATTTGTGTTTCTGGAAATAGTGTTCAATATGCCTTGTGCAATATTTGACAAGTTTAAGGTATTATGGAAGGCTTTGATATGAAGTTTGGCTCCCATTTCTTAAAATTTTAGGAATTTTGGCTACCATTTTCTAAAATTTATTTTTAACCACACATTCATGAGATTCATATTTTTTTAAATCATATTTCATCAACTTTTATCTAAATTTATTGAAAATTTAATTTTCATCAAAACAAAACAGTGCCATGGAGGTTTTTTGAAATAACTACACATACTTATGAACGGCAAAACAAGGTCGCTCATGGGACTTTTTGCTAGTTTAAACTCGAGGAACATTACTAATGCATCATACATCTTTTATCATCTCCCTTTTTTAACTCTATAATTCTATACTTGGTGATCATATCACTTCCAAGTTTCGTCTTTAACAGTAGTTTTTGTGATTCGATATAGGTCTTAAAATACGACTATCCAAGCTGTCGAAATTGATACAATGTTGAAGTAAATTTGAGCAAAACTGATTAATATTTTTAAATAAAAAAGTCATTTATTTTACAAATTCGGCCAGGTTGTAGCCAAATCAAACCCAGATCCAGCTGAAGGCCCGTACCAGCATGATTCGGACTTAAGGAATCACTACCCGGTCCACGTCAGAAAAAAATTAAGCTCTCAGCCACATTTTAGGGAAAAAATCAACGGAAAATGTGTGGTTAAAAAATAAGAAATTTTTTTAGATTTACGTATAATATTATTTTATTGAAAAATATGTAATTAAAATGATGTTAAATTATCGTTGAAGAACGTATTCTTTTTGGAAAATAATGTAGCACAAACAATCTTAAAATGGTAATATAGTCTTTACCCTAAGGACAAATCCGTCATTTTATCCCTAGGGCTTCCATTTCACCTTCTCCGCCGTCCTTCATATAACACATTCCAATACCGCATTTCATACACAGTCTCTCTCTAAGCTGTAGAAGCAATCAATCTGAAAGAAGATTCGAAACAAAGAGAGAGCAACGAGATACACGGAGAGATGGGAGTATTTACCTTCGTGTGCAGGGAATCAGCCGATGAGTGGACGGCTAAGCAGCTCAGCGGCGAGCTGGAGACATCGGCTGGCTCCACCTATGAACTACAAAGGAAGCTTGTCCAAGCCTCCTTGTCCTCTGATTCATCCGGCGCCGTTCAATCCTCTTTCTCATACATAACCCCTTCCTCCGCCGTCTTCCAGGTTATTTTTTTATTTAGTCTTTTTATTTTTATTCAATGATTTCTGATCTCTATACTTCTATGAACATAATTGAGTTGAAAATATATTGATTTGGTTAGAAACGGGATTTTTTGTAGTTTGCATCTATAATTGTGGGATTTTGTTGATGTGATTTAAGTTATATCTCAAAGTTGCATTGAAGAACACAAAAAAAATCATAAATCATTCAATTCAGATCAGAATCCATATGTTGTGAATCTGATTAATGCTTACCAATCAATTTTTTTTTTTTTTTTAAACTATTCAATTAGTTATGTCAAGGTACAATTTCCGTTGCACATGGTACTACATTGATGTGTTGCTTCAAAGTTGTATGAAGCAATTTTTATTGCTCTGCTCTTTCTGGTTTATGAACATCTATCTGTTCGGATATTGTGGCATTTGGTTGTGGCACTTGTATTTTCACTCCTGGCTCATAAACTTAGCTTCAAATCTACTACTTTGAGTCTTGTTCATTACCCCTTGATTTATTGTATTTCGATTGTTAATTGGGGAGTGCTACATATACATAATGGTGTACATAATTACAAGTGGCACAAGATCCAAGTTTTAATTCAAATCTCACGCTTGCTCATCAAAAATCGGATTATTGGCATAGGACACCAATATGTGCAATAATTATGTACAAGTAGAATTTTCTTTGCTAATTTATCCGAGGTTCGCTACCAGTTTAAGCAGTAATGGATGCCCCCCACCCCACACTCCACTAATGGCTTTAAGCCAACTGAAAAATAAGCCTACTTCTAATCTACATCATGTTAAGAAATTGTTTACATTTAACTACTTAAATTTACTTGTAAGTTAACTTTCCATGCTTAGCCAAAGGTGGCTGTCCCCTGCCCTGTGGACTGTGAAACCTTAACAAACTACAGAGATGAGATGTTGGTTGTTTAATAATTACTTGAAATTTTAATGATGATGCAGGTGATTGTTGGTGGTGCTCGCGGTGGTGCATTCATTGGAGGTGGTGGAGCTCCAACAGCAGCTCCTGCTGGTGGCGTTGCTGCTGAGGCACCGCCAGCTGAGGAGAAGAAGGAAGAGAAAGAGGAGAGCGACGATGACATGGGATTCTCCCTATTTGATTAGGTTCAAATTTTATCTTGGATTTTGGAGTCGTACTTAAGCCCGTTTGAGCCCCATTTTCTCTATCATACTTTTAACCACACAATCTTCAATAAAATAATATTACACATAAATCAAAAACTTTTCAATCACTTATTTTTCAAAAAAACACTATTCTTCTCATAATAATCTACAAATAATGGGACTCAAACGGCCCAAGTGTCTTCCCAAATGTTCATTACTTTCCAGACAATTTTGAATAGAATCTGATTATCTTCGAGTTTATTTTAGAGCCTTCTTGGGTTATCTTCACGAATGCTTGAGTTTTGTTTGAATCGCAAATATCTGTTGTGAAAGATAATTTGGGATTAATTGGAGCTTTTGAGATTTCCTTCTGCATTCCGTTTTTCAATGTGGATGTTGAATTATGATATTTCTTTATCGTGGTAAAAATATTGTCACAAAATAAGGACTTTTAGAAGTCAAGCGTTCGCGTCTTCAAAGGTTTCGATTTACTTTATAAATTATAGGTTACCTTGAGGGTTAACTCATGAGAATATTATAAAAATCCAGGAGCAAAAATCAGGTGGAATAGTTTTTTTATGTAGATTTCAGGTTTTAATTTAATAATTAATATTAATAATTAAATATTAAATTTACCAGCCAACCCCACCACCCAAACCCTAATCTTCACAGCATCTTCTCTCCTCCTTCACTCTCTTCCATTGTCCACTGCCTTTTCTCTCCAACCATTAGGGTTTTCTCTCTCTCTCTCTCCCTCTCCCCCCCATTCTCTCCAATCTGCCTTTTCTCTGTCATCTCGGGAGTAATGTTGCAACACACCATCGCATAGTATGTGCAATGCTGCGATCTATCGTTCGGCGTTGTATGTGCAACACTATGATCTGTCGTTGCCCGATAGTGCACTTGTTGCAACATATAAAATTTTGGGGAGTG